CTGAGGTTATCCAAGAGTTCTATAAAGTATAACACAACATTAAACTTCTAATTATGCTGACTTATGTTGAATATTTTTCTATGATTATTAAATATAGCCTACACCTGATAATAAAGACAAATAGTGTAGTCTTTAATATATTACTTCAGTAAAAAGATACAGAAGTTGTCTAATAATGTTTAACTACAAGATCTGAGTACATTAATTTTGATTTCATGTGATGCAGTTCTTAAGTGATAGCATTTTATTTAATAAAAATAACAAATAATCGCATAACGATAACATTTGCTCTTTATTTGGTGTCGAACCAGCGTGCATAGTTTGTTTCAAAACAGCTTTTAGGTTATGTTTGGTATCTACAACAACGCCATGTTCTTTCCATAGTTTACATCGTGACGCCGATCAGCTGACGTCGTACTATACAAATATGTGTCGAATGACAGAAAAAAATACAACATAGAAATTAAAGCATTAAACAACGACGTATCATAATATAATTTAATAATATAAATATATAACGTTTCACAATAGCTTCATCTTTTATTTAAAATCATCATTATCTCGTTCACGAACGAGCATATGGAAATTGAACATAAACACTGCGTAATTTCTCGCATACTGGTATGCATATGTTTCCAAGAGAAACATCACGAAGGAATAATTCGTGAGGAATATCTTAAATAATTAAACTAGGTTAAATTGTAACTATCGATTAAGTCTGTCAAAACAGGTATAGGTCACGAGGTGGGACAGAGAAAGGTAGAATGCGCGGGAAACAGAGCGAGACACATGGTCCTTCCTGAAAATCGATCTGCTAGTTCTCTTCCTATATATACTCGACTACATAAAGCTACGCGATATCACAAAGCTATAATTCTCTTTTTACATATACGTACTTTGTTTTTCCGATGTCATGCTCAATCGTCCATTTGCTGGAATTAATTTTACGAACATTAATATGCACATGGATGTTACTACATGACGTGGCGCCACCAAATGGCCAATTTTCGATGTTTTTTCTAGCAACGTTTTTACCCATTCCCTCTCTAATACATTCGGTATTTCGTGGTCAGTTTCCCAGATTGTTTCAACGATCGTCGTCGATGCATTTTATCGTCCGCGTAATTGTTGCGTCATCTATACTATTTTTACTCGTACCTCGATTACTATTTTGCAATAGAAACAACAGTGGTCTATCAAGAATGAATATTGCTTATGGTTTCTCTATGATTCACAAGTGATATTCAACCGTTCGAACGATTGGCAACAAAGTATCCGTATCAAAACTGCCTTAACGCGCGCGAAGACTATAATTCGAAAGCAAAATTGGCGCGAACGCTTCCCTATGAATAATGCAATAGCCAGCCGGTGTGTGGTGCGCGTTCAGGTGAGTCGAATTGACTCACCTGGCCAAATATCAAGATGAATTGGGTCTCGATTGTATCTGACTGTACGAAGTGTCGCGTTGAATATTAATGTCGGTCTATTGCACGCATCGTACAGATAAGACCTGGCGTCAGTGTCTCGTTACAGCTAACGCCTTCGAACATACGGTTCATAGTAATGACAATGTGCTGTAACATTTTCCCAGTGTCAGTCCACACGTAACGAAGTGTTAGTAAATTCAGCCAGTGGCGTAACCAATTTTTATATCCATATGCTGCTCTTTCTATCACCTTCACCTAGTTACATATCGTATTCGTAACACGTGATACCGTTAAAAGAACCATACGACGTCAACCATTCGAGCGCGTCACAAGATAAAAAATTAAGATACTATGATAATGACCCGGAGTCGAGTGGGACTTTTGAAAAATATCCCAGCACTCGAAATTCAAATGGAAAGTGTCAAGTTATCTGAAATCTGTCTCGTCGTTCGCATAAGAATTATCGAAGCAATTTTACTCGAACGTCGAGTGCTAGGATACTTTCGCGTCATAACCCTCTACCATAGATACACGTATATACGTAGATAGAAACAACTTCGTTACAAAACACCTCGAAAGCTGTATCAACCAGTAGATTCAATTAAAAACAAACTGCACGTGGAAATCTCAATTGCAAACGAGGCTGCATCGTACCAGCAATAAATCCTTCAAATCTCACGCAACATTGCTCAAGTTATCGTCAGCGTTAACGGCATTGAATAGAAAGTCGACACAGAGTGTACACATTAACATGTACGAAACAGACGACCTGAGTTAACTAGCGAATTCTCATTGTTTCAACGTCCTTATTCTGTCTACTTAATGAAATTACGCTGAAATGAACGAAAATGAATAAAAAATTGCCTTTTTCCTCTGGAGGTAGGTCATCCTGGGAGTCATGATCGTGACAAGGATCCGGACTGGGCGCGCTCGTAGTTGTTCCGCCTTTTGTCCGACCTTCTCCTTCCACCGGTATCCACAGCTGCTGACCGGGGTAAATGAAAGTACTTCCGAGCCTGTTAAATTTGCTCAGCTCGGATGGCGTCGTGTCGAACCTCGCGGCCACCGACGTCAACGTGTCCCTGTCGCCCACCTGCGCAACACAGAAAACCAACACACAAATTACACGATTAGCCAAAGGGTAATTGACAGACAAGTCTAATAAGGAGACACGCGTTCTCCTCTATTGTTACGGGCGGGGTCTTTAGATCACTTTGTGCGCCGTCCTGCATCTTTCATGAGGCGCACAGAAATAGCCTTTGACGAGGGACAGACAATATTCACGGTACACGGTGCATGACAAAATTTCTAACGCTGTTGTGACAAATTTTTACCGAAATTCTAATCTCTGCGAATTTTCAGGTTATGTCGCTGCAACTTTTTAACGCTTGTATGTACAGGGTGTCTCATTTGCAAGGAACATATGAATTATTTTTGTTGGTGTTGGAAGTAAGAAAAAAATGATCAAGAGGAGTTTGTATGATTTTGAGACGTGCATCTGGTGATGGTGAAAGTCATCTCGATGATCATTCAAAGGTCATCGACATTTTTATTTAGCTATCAAGATAAGTTTAACGACCTATGACACTCTGAAATCACTGAACAATGTGAAAAGCATGAAAAAAAATATGGCTGACTGTGCAATGATGTTCAAAATGACATTGTGGGATTTTCTTTACCATAAACTCTTTTAATCGTGTTAGTAAGCAATAACCATTGTAAGAACCCTACTTATTATCTTACTATCCTATCTTATTATCTATTGAAAGTAGATAATCCATGGGTTTCAGGTAAGGAGCTTAACCTGTTACCAAAACCATAAAGCCATAAAACCATAAACGTGTTCAAATCAACATTTGGACATTCTAGAAATTTTAATTAATCTCGAGAAAACTATAAGATGGTAAATTGATCATTTTCAATCGAAGTACTCCTACCACTTTTTCATGATCGTTTTCACGTGCATTTAGGTGGACATTTCAGCGAGGCATCTAACTTTCACACCATCGTCCCTGGTGGTGAGCGCAGTCAACCCTAAATGCAAATCACTAGCCACCGTTGCGTGCGAATAATAGGTGGCGTGGTTCGTTGAATCGATACGGAATAGCCTGAAAGCCAATCAGGGATCATCGATCGACGAAGTGAGAGAGGCGTGCTTTGACGACCATACGTCTGGACGCGTCGTTGACGTGTCAGCAGGAGGTATAACGTCGGCTCGAAACCGGGCAAATATCGGTGAAACGCAATTTCACGGACTGATGCCGAAGCAATGTCATAAGCCGTATCTTGCGCCTCAATTTGCAAACGCTTCGATCATCCAGGATAGAAATCGTTCGTTGATAACGGTTTCATCTCGATCAAAACAGTATACGAATATCGTTGATCGTCGATAAGTTACGTTTAACAGGGGAAAACGACTTGGAGAATTTTTTAAATTGAAGTAAATGTGTGTTTCTAATGGGACGATAAATTTGGCTGTGGCTAGAGTTCATTGTAAATGGTCATCACTGAAAGGTGACTTAGAAATTTGTTTGGGTGAACCTTGCATAATTCCATATAACTTGGAATTTATCTGTATTTTATAAGTCTCATTTTATTTATTTATTGCTATACTGTTGCATTACATTGTTAAACTACTGCCAATTTTTTTATAACTATTAATCCCTGCTTCTGCCATCAAAATGTAAAATTGTAATTAACCATAATTGTTCTTCTCATGAATGAAGAAAAATTTGGTTACAGAGGTTAAAAAGAAATGTGTTTGGAAAATAAAGAATGAAGGCAGCAAAGTGTGAATTGTGAACGAATGAACTCTAACCTGTATTTACCTTAATTTATGTAATTTTTAATAATTAATAAATAAATAGAAACACAGTTTTTTCTGACTTCATTGTTGCCTATCATTTTCCTCTTTCTTATCCCACAACAGTGTCCCAGAGATTTACCGTGCAATGTATCACAGAGAGCTTTGTAACGTTAAAAAATTTTACAGAGAACCGTGTGTGTGTGTATGTACGCAACGGCTACGTCACAATACATTCTGAAACGGTACAGCGTAATGTGCAAGGCAGTTCCTGAAACGCAATACTACAATGTTCACGTAACGGTTCACTGCAAACGTCTGTGCAGTGGCACCGGTATCATCTTGCAAGGCTCCTGCGACGTTACGGTGCAACGTTCTGTGAAACGTTACCTGTCCCGGTGCACCGACAGCAGCCGCGTTTAACGTTTCGTTTCAGCCGGTTGTTGTTTCGTTCGTTCATTGTAAGGCAAGAAGAAGAAGAAGAAGAGGAGCTTGTCGAATGAAATTTCCGCTCGTTTCGTCATTTCAACTCGACTGATCTGATAAAAAAAATAATCATTCTCCTTACTTCTTGAAGGCGAGAAAAAAGGACTCGTCGGACGAAATGAATAAAAAATATTCATTCTTCGTTTCCTGAAAACTAAAACTTCTTCAAGAAGGGAGAATGGGCTTGTTAAATTAAATTTGAAACTCCTATGCTAACTTCTCTGATCCCATAAAAAATGATCATCTATTTAGGAAAAGGGAGAGTTTGTCTAATTAAATTTGTACTCCTTTCTCGTTTTACCTCCACTGATCCAATAAAAAGTAATTATCTATTTTTCATCTTTTCAAGGCGAAAATATCGTCAATGGAGTTAAGAAAAATACGCGAAAAGTATAAAACCCAATTCACGTAATTTTGTACAGTAGAAAAATTCGAAAAGAGCGACTTACAATTATCTGCGAATGATATCACTCAATGATATCTCGTACAAAGTACAAAAGTATTACGTTCATAAGAGAAAAAAAAAAAAAATAGTTAAAGAAGTAAGATGATGGGAATAAAAAGAATAATAGTAAGGATATTGCCAACATCCTCATTAAAATATCATCTTTCACTCGACCTGTCGAATTGGGCCATTATTACGCTCCCGTTTCCCTAACAATCCTATGTAGGTTCTCGCGATGGTCACCGGAACCATTAGGCTATTTGCATGATCCAGTAGAAACGGTGTGCAAGCAAGCAAGTAGAGAGATATCGGGTAACAGAAAATTGAATTCCTCGGAAGGAGGGCCTTGAAACTGGTCCCCGTTCGCTCCTATATTACGCCTCTTATGCAAATCCTTGTGCAACGACCTTTAACGTTGCCTGGCAGTCTAAGTGACCGTTCAACATTTTACAACAATGTATACTCGTTCGACAACGTTCAATTAACCAATCGACTGCTTCCAACGATAAGTATTATCATCGGTTACACGAATTTTACGCTGACACGTGATTAGGTTCGACGTGCTTAAGAGGGCAGAGAAATTCACGGAACTCTTGTTACTATGGAGTTTGTTGTGACTGGACGATTCGATTTTATCTTAGCGTTTGTTATCGTTGATAAGTAATTTTTCGGTTTCTGATTTTTTCACGTGCTTTTTTTGTGGGATACTGTGAAGTAATGGGTGACCCATGGTGGGTCACGCTTGTCTATTTGATCTGGAGTGACCCATGGTGGGTCACGGTATCATTTGAAAATTTTTTCGTTACATATGCTTGAATGACCCAAGGTGGGTCATGTCATTATTTGAAAATTTTTTGTCACCTATGTATGAATGACCCACGGTGGGTCACGTCGCGTATTTAATTATTTTTGTCATCTATGCAAGAACGATTCACAGTGGGTCACGTCTGTTTGATCTTTTTTGTCACCTATGTATGAATGACCCACGGTGGGTCACGTCCTGTATTTAATTCTTCTTATCATCTATGCAAGAGTGGGTCACGTCTATCTAACCTATTTTATCACCTACGTATAAATGACCCACGGTGGGTCACGTTGAGAAATAAGAGCATCACTCAATGACTCACCGGTGGGTCACACCGTCTCAAACATGTTAAGTAGGGGTGGTATTGTTGCTCGATCAGATTTAGTATACTACGTCTGACTATGACGCGACCCGATCTACTGGCCGGTTGAATTTAGATGAGCTGGCAGTGGGGATCACGCGCAGACTGTGCGTCTGACACTGACGCAACTGAATCTACTTCCGCGTGGGACGATTACACTCCATCAATAAATTCAATCGCAATTTTTTTTATTACTCCCATTGGAAACGTTACCTAACGGCATTATTGAATTTTTTTTTTTATGGAACTTGAAAGGTTCCGCTACGTTATTATACATGACAAAAATGCGTATCGCATGACAAAAAAAAACGAGCTCGTTTTGTTCTCAAATTGAATTTATCTATTTATCGCAACTGCGAATTTCTGAAATGTCAATTCTACTATTTACCTCGGAATTCTTTCTCGTTTGTTCACACTTTTAAACGCGCTTCTTTCCGTTTCAAAGAACCTTCACATATTGTTCGTTAAAGCACACCCTATATACAGCGTGTAATTGATACAGTTGTATAATTAATATCGCGTATTAAACAGCAGTACACGTTCCCTCGAAACGTCGTTTCTCGGCTATAGAACGTTTCTACAGACAAACACAGACCTTACCAGACGCTTAAAACGTATTTCGTGTTCCAGGGAAATTCATTAATTATTCCGCGCCACCTCGCCATCTCTTGCACTCACGCCTGATTGCTTCTTGTTCGTTCTTTCTGTATCCCATCTGAACCTCTTTCTCGATCCTCCGGGAACACTTTGCTCCCGGAGGAAACGTACGTTTACGGGGGAAATTAACGGCGTTCATATTGGAATCATATTTCTCTTTTAACGCGATACAACCCTCTGTTTCCTTGGCAAAATTTCAATAATAACTCTTGTTAACACGGATATCACGGCGTTTATCACGATCCTGTGGAACGAACAAATTTGCAGCGACGAATACGGTAGGAATTATTGATTTTCGTGGGGCTCGTGGTGGGGGTAAGTGACCTTGAGCGACGAATACCTCGGCTCAGGCTATAGCGGTGCTTCTCCGCCCGGAGGAAGCTTCCAGAACGTATTCTTGTGTCGTAAACTATTGAAGAGGGATGAACGAATATGTGTGTGTGTTTGTGAAGGATGTGTGCTCAGAAAAATTCGAGAGAAAGTCAGGAAAAAGTGATTATATACTTAAAACACATTTATCACCGTTGAAAATCACC